CGCCCCCTGGTGGACACTAGAGAGAATGCAGCCTTAACACATGAAGCTTTGACTTCACTCAGCAGAACCGGAGAACCTGATGGGGACGAAGGACCTAAATCTATCAACAACACATTGGTTTTCAGCTGACAATAAACTGGTTTGGGAGGTTTAGTTATTCTTTAAAGGAACGTGATTTATTTATCTGATGAAGAAGCACTTGGTGTCAAAATGTTAGTCTTCTAATAAAGTTTGTTGCCTTAAATACGTTTGCTCCAGTTTACTGGACAGCACATTACACCTCCTCCTTCACCTTACCTGCCGTCACCTTGTTTCTGATTGGATGTGACGGCTCCAGAGAGGAATCCCACTGAAACCTTCCTCCCTTGCAGGAGTCTTTGGTCAGCGTCTGGAGGAGACGGTGCTGTACGAGCGACGTTACGGGGTGCGCTTGGTTCCTCTGGTGGTGGAGCAGTGCGTGAACTTCATCCGGGAGTGCGGGCTGCACGAAGTGTGCTTGTTTCGCCAGCCGGGACAGGCCAGTCTGGTCAAAGAGCTGCAGGAGGCCTTTGATGCAGGAGAGAGGCCGTCCTTTGACAGGTACAATGCATGTCTCTTTTTGTTTTGTGATCACTTGTTCCTTCAAAGGGTGAAAGAAGTGAACTCGCTGTGTGTTTTCTTCCTGCAGTAGCACAGACGTCCACACGGTGGCGTCACTGCTGAAGCTCTACCTCAGACAGCTGCCGGAGCCTCTGGTTCCTTACAGACGCTACCAGGACTTCCTGCTCTGTGGTCAGAAGCTGTCGAGTGATCGCACACTGGTAACCAACACAACAGTTCATTGGTTAAAGTGACTGTGAGGAACTTTTAGCTGGTCCTGAACCAGTCTCCGTTTAGTCCTGATCCTCTATCAGACCTCCATCAGTAAAGAGACTATCAGAGAGAAGATGGTCTGTTTCTATAGAGTTATTCTTAACGCTCGTCATCGGAGCCACCGGGTCGGATTCTGGTGAAACCAGATGAACTCATGCAGGTTCACCAGAAACTCCTTCAGCTCAGACTCCAGCAGAGACCGGTCCACCGTGGACAGACCCAGATCCTCCAGAAGAGACCGGTCCACCGTGGACAGACCCAGATCCTCCAGCAGAGACCGGTCCACCGTAGACAGACCCAGATCCTCCAGCAGAGACCGGTCCACCGTGGACAGACCCAGGTCCGGCTTCACCTGCAGCCTTGGACCTGCAGTCGCCAACACCGACACCACGCTGCAGGAGACCCAGGACGTGTTGCTGGACCCACTGGAGGGAAGGGAGTCACAGGAGAACCAGAACCAGGACTGAGAGGAGCAGACTGTCAGACAGCTGCAGTAAAATGGTTTTCCAAAAGGATGCCAAAATTAACACAAAATAAAAGTTCCTCACAGTGACTTTAAAGAGCAGCTTAACACCACCTAGAAACCTGTTTGCGGTGATGTATTGACTCCCATCTTCTTCTTCCTCACTCAGGTTTTGGCAGAATTGAGGAATCTTCTTCACGAGTTGCCAGTTGCAAACTTCAACCTACTCAACTTTATCTGCCAGTAAGAAGACTTTACTATAGATGGACAGTTTGAAGCCACATTTCTTGTTTAAACTTACTTGCTTTGTTTAAATGCATTTGCATATTTATATTTAATAGAATTCTGTATATAAACAAAACTCATCAGAATTTATCATAATTAAAATAAAGTTTTTCTTCTTAATTACAGTAAAGTACTGCAAATGTTTCTGAGACTTTCTAACCTTAACAAGAAGAACATTATTGACGAAGTTGTGAATTATTGGGAGTAATTGTCATAAACTTGAAATAGTATTAATTATCTTTTGTGTGTGTGTAGGTTTTTAAATGAGGTCCAGAGTTACTCCAGCAGTAACAAGATGAGCGGACAGAACTTGGCCACTGTATTCGGACCAAACATCCTCCGAGCCAAAGCTGAAGACCCGCAAAGCCTCGTGGGAGGTAGACAGAACCATATTATGATGAATTATTATTCTTTAAACCAAGTTTTGTTACCTAAACATGACCAAGTACTTGTGATGCCTAAATATAACTAAGTTGTACTTTTGATATGTTTTTGTTTTGTTTCAATTTCGTAGTAATGTTAAGTCAAACCATCATGTTTTTTCCAAAATCTAAACAAGTAGTTTTGTTAGATGTTTTGTCAGTTTACCCACTTTACAACGTTTCAAACTGTGACTGTAATCTGTATGGAAACGTCATTTTTTAAGAGACAGGGTTGAAAAAAAGTAGTATTTTATGTTGGCAAGGAACATGGATCTACTTTTTTTTTTAAAGAAAATAACTAATTTCATCAGATTAATTTGAACTTTGTACTCAAATAAAAAGTCTCATGAGAACGATATTAAGTGTGCTTACCAATTAGCTCTCGAAGGTGATAAGTGAGATTTGAAACACAACCATTGTCGTGGTGTCGCCACCTGAGAGAACCAGTAGGCCTAGGGTTCTTTGAAGAACATCTGAATCTTTCTCTCTGTTTCCTAGGTGCAGCGCTGGTCCAGGTGCTGATGCTGGAGCTGATCAGAGAGCACGAGTCTCTGTTTGCCAAAATCCCCCCGACGCTCTCTGCCCGTCCACCGCGAGGTTTGCATCATTCACCGAGAGCTCTGAGGCAGCCTCATCTCCACCCGTCGCCCTGCCTCCGCCAGCTGTCGATGCCTCTCATCATGGAGCGCTCCAGAGAGCTGGGGCAGCCCGCCGCAGACCAACAGAACCCCAGGTAACATCTCATGCACTCACATGGTCTGTCTGGGTGATGTGGCAGCTAGCAAACATTCAGGTCCTTTCAAAATTGAGCCCAACTGGAAAAACTCAAGGACGCATAGATAGAAGAGACCAACACATTCTCACTCCAAGCGCGTCGCTTGGACAGCGGCCCTACGCTTCAAACTACAGCGCTCTAGCGTCAGTTTTGGACGATTCGGGGATGTCGTGTCAGTTTCTGCTTGTCACACGAAAAGTGTCTTTCAAAATAAACTTCCAACATAGATTTACTTAGAAAAAATAGTTTGTTTTTAGGTTAACTTGGTTAGGTTTAGGTTTAGGTAAACAGACTTGTGTTGCGCTTCTAGTCTTCCGACCACTTAAAGCGCTTAAACACTAAATGTCATTCACCATTTCATACACTGATGGCTACCATGCAAGTGCTACCTGTCCTTTATGACTATCTACCCATTCGGGAGCAATTTGGGGTCCACTGAGCCACCGTCGCCTAACCATTGTGGTTTGGGTTCAAATAAGAACGTTTGTTATGTGATGTTAGTTAAGTATGTTAGTTCATAACAAAACTATGGTAAAATAAGTTTACTGTGACTTGGTTTTACATGGGACATGAACAGTGGTCTCCTTGGTGCAAGTCCTGTTTGTCATCCATCGACACAGATCTCCACGCCTTTTATAATATGTTGGATGCTCTGACGTTATGAAGCCTACAGCTTCAGCATTTTTTTTCTTCTTGCAACCAGAAGCAAAACGAAGGGTTGAGCCACTTCTTTTTGCAACCAGAGGAGTCGCCCCCTGATGGCCGTTAGAAAGAATGCAACTTTTAGGCACTTCTGCGTTGGCTTCACTTTTCAGACCCGGAGGTTGCCGCCTTGTCTCATACGGACTCTAAAGGGTGCCGTCGGTATCAGATGCCAAGGGCCACTGACCATGAGTTGGAAGTGAGAACGGAGTCAAGAAATGGATCCCCATTGTTGAGTCTCCTCTTTTTTCTAGACCTCTACACTTGTGTCCTTGACATGCTGAACCAACAACCTTTTCTTCATATACGATTCTATTTTATCACATCCATCAATCCTCAATATATAATTCTACTGTGCATAAAACCTTTTATCACATCTTGTTGTGATGTTGGTCCTTGCTAGTGAAATGATTTTAGTTCTAAAATAAACCTCTTAGGGGCTGATCACACCGAGATCAGCCCCTAAGAGAGCCCCTAACGCGTCGGTAGAAACGCATCGGTAGAAACGCGTCGACGGCACAACTATTGTTTTCAGAATCAGAACCATTTTTTTGCAACCGTAAAATTTGCAATACAATATAGTAAACAAACAAACAGATAACAGTACGTTTCCTATTATATGGTGCGTTTTTAAGACAAGCATTCAAATTAAAATATTCTCAACTTTTCAGCACCAGCCACGGAGTCGCACAGCTTGTCAATGTCACACTTGACCGAGGCAGCCAATCAAATCAAGCAAGAGGCGGGCTTTACTACTTTACCACTGACTTCCTGTTTTTATGCCTGTAGATGTGGTAAGAACGGACATTGATTTTAACGATAGTTAATTACGATGAACTATATCATTTCTCCCTCCTCCTCATTCAACAGCAGAGCAACAGCAAGACCTCGATGCCTGCAACCAATCATTTCCCCCGTTATTTACATTTAATTTGCCTGACTCGCTTTGCCAAGGGGTGTTTTTGAAGCGGCCACGCTTGTTGCGACGCGTCTCGTTGTGATCGGCCCCTCAGTGGATCATCTTGAAGTCTAACCTTAGTTTCCTTTGCTTTCTTTAGCTATGTCTTCTCTGCCGCTGCCAAATCCGACTTGTCCTCCGGTCAGAAGAGATTTCTCGGCCATCGGTACACCTCCTCCCACCCAGAAAACTGCTTCTACCCCCTGCCCTCCTCCAGACAGCCCCTTCAGCACCACTCTAACCTACACAACATAGATTATCACCAGCGCCATGCTGGGCAAGGACCATCCACTGCAAATGTTCAAGCCTCTACAAACAGCCTACAAGACCCACCACCAGACAGCTCCAAGCCCAGACCGACTCCCATGAGCTGGGCAAAGGCCTGGCCTGGCACAGGAGAGGCAGGCACTGGTTTCTGGAGCTCTGGTGCCGCAGAGGAAGATGGTGCGGCGCCAGGAACTGCCAGCGGGGGAAGCAGTGAGGCTCAAGAGGACAGCAACCTTTCTGCCTACGACAACCTGGACAGAGTGTCTCTACGTCACAGGATGGAGGATGGCGAGAATTTTGAAAGCAACGATCCAGGAGGCCATATCGGACCTTTTGGAGAGCAGGAGGAGCTGGAGGAGGCCGGGCATACAAGGGACTCCTTGTCTTCATGGTCTTCCTGTGAGGTTCTACCATTGGACGAGGGCGGTGAGGCTTTGGCCACGGTTAGTCCTGACGTATCACTAAAGACACTGATAACTTCAAGTCAGGTGGCAGAAGAAGAAAACAGCGATAATGACGATCACGAAGATGGCAACGACAATGATGATAACGATGAAGACAATTATGACGGTGCTGATGACGACATCCACCACCCTAACTCCCCAGCATCCTGTTCCGCGCCCAGTGACAGCCCTCTCAGTACGGGCAGCTCAGAGGTGTTCCTCCCCTCCGTACCCCCAGACCTCCAGGGGCCCGAGCCAGAGTCACAGCCCGGGGACGCTCACTCACTCCTGGCCAAGCTGCGGCATCAGATGGCCCGGCATAAGGCCGAGTACCAGACCAGGATACAGAGGTGAGACACCAGCACAAGGAGGAATATAATATGTAGTTTACATATAAATACTTTCACAAATGCTACATGTCTCTAGTGTTTGTTGCAAAAATGTATGTACTATTTGGTATATGTGTGTTTACGGCAGGTTGGAGCGCTGCAACGACGTCCTGGAGCGGCAGGTTGCGGTACTGCGGGTCAGTCTGGAGCGGCAGAAGTGCAGCCGAAGCGTCGCTGAGATCAAGATCCGCAACATGGAGCTGGCCAAAGAGGACGCCGACCTCCGAAACGACACGCTGCAGAGGGAGATGGAGCTCTTCTTCCAGATGTATGGAGAGGCCAAGAGAAGAGGAGGGAATGAAGGAGGAAGAGGAGGAGGGAGTCTCTGAAGACGGATGGAAAGATTCTTTCGAAATGTGTGGATCGGTCGGATAACAGTGTGAAAGAGGATGATTGGAAATCGATCATTAAGGCAGATCGTGGAGGCATCAAACCCAGAAGGAAAAGACTAAGTGAGGGTAAGGAATTAAAGGAGTTGTTGTCCGATCCAGAAGACAGTCTGAAGAAATAAGACAGTTGTTTGTCATTTCAATCAGGTAGCCTCAGGCCGAAGAGGTTCAGTTCACGGGTTTTTCAGATGGTTTGAATTTGAAGAGCCGGTGTGGACGTATGTCGGATTAGTTTGCTGGAGCAACTGATGGACCCTCTGAGTGTCTTCTTGCAAGTTGAGGTATTATTCAACATAAACCGTAACCTTTGAGAAAACAAACCTAATTCTAAACTGTTCCTGAACAACCGAGATCTGGAAGAGGAAGGAAAACAAAGGCCTTGTCCAGACTTTTCAAGATGTTAGAACTGCTGTACTTAACATCTGATCTCAGATGAGGTTTACGGACTATTCCAGTTGCTGCGACTGGAGTACATGATGCCAGAATTCAAGCTCAGAGTCCATCATTCCGTCCTTTGTGTCCACATAACACAGGGAGCACTAATGCGGGTCTTTGCCATCAGTTTCGTTGTTCAGGAGAATTCGCTGCCTCTCACCTTCCCCACTCCAGTTTTTTTGACAATCTTATTTGGTAACGCTCAGACTCTCTCAGACTCGTCTCCAACATACTTAACCAAACATTGACGTTGGTATCGTCTTGGACAGTTGACGAGGTCAAGAAGCTTGAACTAGACAATCTGTTGTGACGGAAAAAAGCAGGGATAACGTTCAGACACAAGGGTTTCAATCTCTGAAGTTGTGTTGTCAGCGATAGGCTTTAGAGAACTTAACGTTACTGTGAACTTTTAGCTGGTCCTGAACCAGTCTCCGTTTAGTCCTGATCCTCTATCAGACCTCCATCAGTAAAGAGACCATCAGAGAGAAGATGGTCTGTTTCTATAGAGTTATTCTTAATGCTCGTCATCGGAGCCACCGGGTCGGATTCTGGTGAAACCAGATGAACTCATGCAGGTTCACCAGAAACTCCTTCAGCTCAGACTCCAGCAGAGACCGGTCCACCGTGGACAGACCCAGATCCGGAGGGAGGAGAGCTCAGCTCCCGGCAGCAGCAGCAGCGCCTCCTCCTCCTCTCTGGGAGTCAACACCGACACCACGCTGCTGGAGACCCAGGACGTATTGCTGGACCCGCTGGAGGGAAGGAAGGCACGGGAGAACCAGAACCAGGACTGAGAGGAGCAGACTGTCAGACCCTGCTGCAGTAAAATGGTTTTCTAAAGGGACTCTGGTGCCCGGAGACACTACCACTTTACTCCACAGGGACCAACAGAACCAACACTAAATTAAAAGTAGACACTTGTCTTTTTAACGTATTTAAAATACAAACTTTTCATTTCCTGCAAGTGATCCAAGTGTTATCTCCTAAGTGGTCCGCTAATATACGCTGGAGCGATCTGGTCTACTTAAAGACGCAGATCTGTGAATCAACCGGCTACACAGTTATTCACTATAATAATAATAAAACGACGGGATGCTGTTTCTAAATGACTTGTCTTCAGGAACTCGACTGACTGCACTGCAGCAGATGGTGGAGATGTTTTAGTTTTTACAGTTTGAGTGCGGTTCACTCTGCATGAAACACTTCTGACACTTTACAAGGAAAATAAACTCAGTTACACACAAACAGTTCCTCGTGTGTTGAACCTGTTTGTTTCTGTATTCACTGGTGAACTGAGGCTGAAATAAATGACTACAGATCCACAGTGAATATTTAAATGGGAATAAACAGTTCCGAGTGGAGACATTGTGCAAAACAGGTTGAAATAAAACACTCTTTGTTTTTCTGATGACAACGTAACATTTATTGTGAAATTTCAAAGTGTACAGAGACTGTATAAACCAAGGACAAGGTCTCTTTGCCATCAACTGGAAAAATATTAACCAGACGAACAGAAAACGTCACAACCGTACAGATTCAGATGTGATTCTTCAGTCAGGGAGAGATTTAAAGGGGAGTGTCACACTTTAAACACAGCGAACATAAACTTTAACAGAGAGGAAACAGTCATATTTTAATATTTACAGCTGCTGAGGGTTCAGGAATGTTCAACACAACATCTGTCAGCAGAGGTTTACTTCAAACTGCTCAGTCATATTGAGCAAATAATCAAATCAGAGTGAAACAACAATCAGCCGGGTGCTTCATTTACTTTGACGGGTGGAAATCATTGAGCGCTACGAAGATTCATTTCATCTCGCAGAACCCTCGTTAGCATTCAGCTAGCGCTGCAGAAATGTCAGTTTTCTCAACGTTTCCTTTGCACAGAGAAAAAAAATACTCTTTCACTTTGTGACACAAGGCTTCTGCAGGATGCAGCACAGTTTTATCTCTTCAGTCGATTTGCACCCAAACTCATGTGGAGCCCTTCATCATTGACCGTCAGACCGGTAGAAAACAGAGGTCACACGTTGACGGCGCTCGCACACTGAAAACAGTCTTTAAACCTTCTTCTTCTTTTGAGTTCTTGCCTCCTTCGATTGAAACCAGCAATCACAAAACAAATTAATCTGTTGCTACAGCGGAATATAAAAAAAACAAAAACCTATAAATTCAAACATCTGTAACACAAAACAATAAGTGGAACGTTTCAGTGAGCAGGATTTCCTGAGACAATCTTTTCTTTGTTCTCTTGGTTTGATTTGTTAAACTACACTTAAGGAATGTGTTTTATTCCGCCCTGCTTATTGAAATGTCCCTTTAAGAAGACAGACTATCAACACAGTAGCTTTTCTCACATTGACTTGCATCCTGGAGGAATGTGTAACACGAGAGGCTAATCGAGCATGTTTAGGAGGAATAAAGTGCTTTTTTTTTTTTTTTTTTAAAACAGAGGATCATTTTAAACAAGGACCACCGTCATCTTCACTACATACGAGGATCAGCCACTGCCAGCATGCTGCAGCTGTAACAGTAACAAGACCGAGGGTCAAGGGAAAGTAGGATTCTTCTTTTTGCAGCCAAGTAACACAGTAAACGCCTCAAAGATGGAGATGGGAAGTTGTTAAAAACGTAGCATGTTGTAACGACAGCGCAACATGCAGAATGGACGAGGACTTTGTTGAGTTTTTTCCTGCTAAATACGTTTATTTACAACTTGTTTTGTCAGATTTCCTTTAGGTAACGTCGCCAACATCCCAGATAACAGTCGCCAAGTTTCCATTTCAGTCAAGAAAACGTTTGAAATGTCACGAGAAACAAAACCGCATTTCTATCAACTGGTCTGGAGCGAATACACTCGGCCACAGAGCTGAAATTCAAGATTATTTGGTGAATAAAAGGAAACAAAGCCCACGATGACGTCTTCAAATGTCACAACTCAAAAGGTATTCAGTAACCAGAAAACATCCACATTTAACCCTCTTTAAAAAAATATACTCAAACCAATGAATTGATGATCAAAAGAGTTGCAGATTGATTTAATAGTTGACGACTAATCTGTAATCCGCCAGAAAACAGAGTAGAAGAAGAAGTAGAGCTTTGAGTCGTCTTGGCCGACCAATCAGAGAAAGTCTTCAGGAATTTGTTTCAAATTGTTGTAATTGTGAGTTAAACGTTCGAGACGTCACAATTTATTTGTGAAAAACGTTTCAAAAAGCACCTCGAGCGAACGTTAAAGACGTTTCTTTTCTAACGCGATGTTCAAAACGCGTCGATGGAAACACGGCGAGCGATTACCTCGTGGAGCACAATGTTATTATTCGCCAACAGGAAGGACGTACAAAACTACGAAAATGATACCCAAGTTGTAATAAAGCAGAGTTGACGACATGATTACATTTCATGGGACCTTTGATGAGACGTGCGATGTCTCAGAAGCCGGAGGGCGTGAGGACGTTCATGTCTCTGGGCTTCAGCTTGTGAGGTCGCGCTCCCTGCCGGCGAGCCTCCACGGTGGGGATCTCCATCTTGGGAGGGTTCACCTGCTGAGCGGCGGTGCTGTCGGCGAGCCGCGTGGCCGACGACTTCATCACCTCCATGGGCGTCGGCTTATGGGCGCCGCGGTACGCCTGCAGCGCAAAGCCTGCTAGGAAAAAAAAAAAAGAAGAGATTAATGAAAATAATTCAAAATAGTATTACTGACATCAAAAATTATTATTAGTTATTATAAACGTTCCACTAGTCTGAAAGACGTGTCCCGTCTGAAATGACTTACCTAAAGTCATGTTGTAACAAAGACTTTGATAGTTTCCAGACTGAATCGTCCCTCGTGTGAGAAGAGGAATGTTGTTTCTCAGCGAACAAACCGACACTAAAGTTTGCTTTTAAAGCTCCGTGTTTACTGTCGGTCCTAAGTTCATGTGTTCACCCATTAACCAAAATTCTGGACGTTTCCTTTTAATGTTTTTTCCAGAACAAAGAGAGGGGACGTCTCTAAACTCTGAGTACAGATTGAGAGTCCCACAGCGGGGCGGTGCTGGTTACCTGAGGCCGTGGGGTCTGATCCCAGGTCAGAGGTCGACTTGTGGACGAGAGGTCGCGGTCCGAACACGCTCCACCGCTCCACCGCCGACTCAGAGCCACCGAGGTCCACACTGCTGTTAGTGGAGCTCACCTCTGAGCTGGTGCTGCCGAACCAGCCCCTACACACACACACACACACACACACACACACACACACACACACACACA